GATGTTTACTTGTGTTTTATTGACTATGCAAAAAGCATTTGATTGTGTGGACTGTGCTCAAGTATAGCAAGGATCGTGAAACTGGCATGGGAGCAGGCAGTATTTCGATCTGCTGTGCATGGGGTTGCTATGAGTCGGAGATGACTGAATGGCATCTAACAACAACAGTCCTAAAGATGTGAGAGGCAGGAGAACAGATACATGCACACCCATGTTCATCACAGCACTATTTACAATATCTAAAACATGGAAACAAGCTATGCACCCATCAGTGGAAGAATGGATAAGCAAACAATGGTACATATACTTTGCAATGCTGAAGAATAATGTAGAATCTGCTAAATACTGCATCATGTGACTGAACTTGAAGGACATTATTCTGATTTAATTAAGTCAATCAAGAAGGACAAATATTGTATTAATTCATTATTGTAAAAAGTCAGGGAAATGTTTACATATGGAAGGAAACTGTTGGTTACCAGGCGTGGGGGAGGGGAGGAAACACTGCAGAAACAAAAAATAAAGTAAAAGCAGAACAAAATAATTTGCTTTATAAACTTTCATCCTAATCCAAAAAAAAAAAAAAGTTATTGAATGTATCCTGGACTTCCAGAAGAACAAAAAAATCTGTCTTGGAAGAAGTACAGGCAGATTGCTCCTTAGCAATGAAGACAGCAGGACTTTGTCTCACATTCTTTGGACATAATATCAGAAGAGATCATTCCCTGGAGAAGGACATGCTTGGTAAAGTCGAGGGTCACTGAATAAAAGGAAGACCCCACAAGATAGATTGATACAGTGGCTGCAACAATGGGCTGTAATGTAGCAACAGTTCTGATGATGGACTGAGCATCTGTTGTACACAGAGTCACTATTAATTGGAATCGACTAGTCACCACCTAACAACAAATAGACCGGAATGTTTTCATTTTGAATTGTAAAACTGTTTTTCACTTGGTAGTTCCAAATGTATGTTCTGTGTGCTTAGTTGTTTCCATAATGCACCCATCACTAATCTTTTTGTTATAATTACATAGGCCAATGGAAAGAATCGACAAGATAAGAAAACTATGAATAAATAATTACCTGTTCTTTCAAGCCATCACTTTTTATTTTTCCACAGCAACACTAAATAACTAAGACAAAAGAGTAGTTAATATTGATTATAATCAGTTTTCGTTGGAACTACTCTTAGAGTCCCTTGAATCCTTCTAATTTTCACAGTATTAGGTGCCGTCAAGTCGGTTCCATCTTACAGTGACCCTACATACAATAGAATGAAACACTGCCAGGTCTGTGTCATCCTCACAGATGTCCCTGTGTTTGAGCTCATTATTACAGCCACTGTGTCCATTATCTCACTGAGGTTCTTCCTCAAGCAAGATTTCCTTCTCCAGGTACTGGTTCCTCCTGACAACATGACCAAAGTATGAGAGATGAAGTCTGAGTATCCTCTCATCTAAGGAATATTCTGGCTTCTTCCAAGATATATTTGTTCGTTTTTCAGGAAGTCCATGGTATATTGAGTATTCTTTGCGAGCACAATAATTCAAATGCACCAGTTCTTCTGTGATCTTCCTTGTTTGTTGTCCA